CTCTCTCTCTCTCTCTCTCTCTCTCTCTCTCTCTCTCTCTCTCTCTCTCTCTCTCTCTCTCTCTCTCTCTCCCGCCCCCCAACTACCACAGGTTACCACCCAGCCTGATAAGAATCCTCACAAACAATAACCCACCTTGCACCAATTGCCCGTCATGTAGTGATTTTCTCTTTCCCGACCAATCATCACCTCCATTGTCGAACCGGACACAAGGCTTCTCTCTTGCTCTATCCTCTTTTCCAATGACAACCAAACAACTGCACAAGGATAATGCGCACCCACCCACACCCACACCCACCCACCCACCCACCCACCCACCCACACACAAGTCCACAAATTGTGAGTTGTTACACAATAGGGAAGGGAAAAAACTTTTAAAAAGACACCACAAAAAAAGAAAAGAAAAGAAAACACACACACACACACACACACACACACACACACACAGACCACATCAGAAAGTCAAGGTAACAAGAAGCCACAATGGTACAAAGTTACTACAAACACGTAACTGCTAATAAACAGATCGCTGGTTCAAATACCTGGCAAATCAGACAGGATGAAAACAAACAATGTTACAGATTTTTTTATTTTTATTTTAAACAGGCCAATTCTTTTCAAAAATCAGTTCCTGAATGTTGCTTTTTTTTTTTTTTTTTTTTTTTTTAATACTTCAAAAAAGTCCATAGAACGGGTAAGCCAATCAATGACGTCCTACCTCTGCCTGACAAGGCCATGTGATTGATTGACTCTATCCCACTGGCCCCAGAGGCGTGATTTCCTCCAGAAACCACCACTACCTTTCAGGCTGAAAGCCTAAGTCATAAATATAACCTATACCGCATTCCTCAGGCGCTGGTGGAGGCCCGGGTGCTACCGGACCAAAAAGGCTGTTGGCGCCCGCCGAATCAAAACATAAAACACCTCGCTGGCACTTCGGCCAAACCTTGGCGCGCAGTTCTACTCCATCCCCGGCAAAAAGAGCCTCGGAGGTGGTGGTGGTGGTTGAAGAGAAAAATAAAATACAATCCAATCGAGTGCGGTATCACACCAGCCGCAGGCAGACCAGCACATGCAAAGCGCGGCCTTCACGTACACGGTCGCACGCTTCCAAGGTTGGCCCCATCTGAGACTGTGGTCCCCACCTGAGACTGGTAGTCTCACTCTGATCGCCACGTAGTAGCCAACCATACCAACCATACAACAACAGATGGTGCCAGCTAAGGCAGGCATCACCGATGTGCCTGCATCGTATACACTACTACTATAAACATGTTAAACCACCAGTACCTTTGGCGTCCGGTTTTGACAAGTCCTGGCCAGTACCCGAACTTTCAGGAGGCCGAGCCCAACGTTGATCAATCTGATCGGCCCGACGTTGATCAATCTGATCGGCGGCCGTCGTTTCGTTTCGGCCTCCTGAAAGGTCGGAGGCCGAGTATTTTCGAACCTACAAAGGTACTGGTGGTTTAAATTGATGTAACCAATCTAATGTTAGGACTCAGGAGCTGCAACCACCTTCTGAGATCATGAGTTAGGGGCTACAACCACCTTCTGACACATGTAACCAGTACACTTTTTTTTTTTTTAGATCACGAGTTCGAATCCTGGTTAGGGATCAGATGCACACTATATAATGTTAGGGGTTACAACCACCTTCTGAGAAACGAAAAAAGCATGAAAAAGGTTAAGTCCCCGCGAGCCGTTCAACAATTTTAAGTACCGGATAAGGTCATGTGATTGACTCTAAACCACGCGTATCGTCTCCGTTCAGATCGAAAAAAAAAAGTCCTTGTCTGACTGAGTATGCCCTGTTTAGTGAAAGTGAGTTCCAAAGAGATAACCGTAACCGGACCCACCAAGTACACCGCGAACGGCGGAAGAATGTGTGACCGAATAAGCTCACAAACTCGGATGACCACACTGCCACGAAGGCGTAAGACTCGGACTGTGATGATAAAGAATTTGGGCAGCAGAGGGATGGGACAGAGTGCGAGGAGCTTGTAGCAATAAGCTAACGCAGGCAGGGGTGAGGGAGAGGTACATCCTTCCACATCGGAAGTAATCGATGCCACCCAGTCGGGTCTCTCTACCATAAAGAGGAGAGATGTGGGTGTGTGTTGTATTCCGTGTTTTGACTCGCCGGTGGAATAGGAATCGGACTGGCACTTCCCAGAAGGGATATGGAGCCTACTGTTCTGTATTATTTGGCTGTTCCCTTCCTCTTGTCTTTGCCTCTTTGCCTTCTGGCTGTGTGCAAGTGGGTCGATATGACACACGGGGGTAGGGCAGCCGCCGCTCAACCTACATCCACGTGGGCGGCCTTGTACGCAAGAGGTTCTCAACAGGGGGATTTATATAAGGAAGAAGATAAAAAACTGAATTTATTTTTTCCTGTTTTTTTTTCTTTTTTTCTTTTTTTCTTTTTTTCTTTTTTTCTTTTTTTCGCATTTGCGCTCTGATATTCTTGTGACAATATATATATTGTCACACTGTGAATCAGAGCGCGAAGGCGAAAAAAAAAAAAAAAAAAGAGTCACAGACAATTATCATACGAATTACCCGTCTCTTTTCCGAATGAGTACAAAAGGAAACAAGACATGTCCCCGCCTCGCAAAAAAAAAAATTATCAAAAAGGCGAAAAAAAAAAAAAAAAAAAAAGAAGCAAAACAAGGAAAGGAAAAGAAGGAAGGAAGGAAAGCCCCACCACCTGTTCATCACCTCTTACGTACAAGGCCAGCCACGTGGATGACAGGTTGAGCGCTGGCTGCGCCCATTCCCGTGGGTCAAAAGGACCACTTGCACGCAGCCAAAAGGCAAAAAAGAGGTAAACAAGTAAGGAGGAGGAGGAAACCAGACCTCACAGAGGCAAGAGAAAGAGAAAGGGATCCAATCAAAGAAAAGACAAGGGAAGAAATATATCGTCACAAAGATATCAGAGCGCAAAAGCGAAGAAAAAAACAAAAGGAAACAAGGAGATGTCAATTCATTTTTTATCTTCTTACTTACATCTCCCCCTGTTCAGAACCTCTTGCGTACAAGGCCGCCCACGTAGGTGTAGGTTGAGCCGCGGCTGCCCCCCACCCCCGCGTGTCATATCGACCCACTTGCACACAACCAAAAGGCAAAGGGGCGAAGAAAAAGAGGAAGGGAACAGCCAAATATAATAACAAAACAGGGGGCACAAACATAAACAAATCCTAGATGACAAGTCCCACACATGCAAGCACCGCCTCCTCCATCACAGACCAAACGACGGGCCAAGACCAACCACGATATCAAAACACCCTTCTTGCCTGCAAACAAACAATCAATCCCAGATAACAAACCATTCGTACTCGCCAGCGACTCTGCGGCAATTCCACGAAAGAATCCTTTGAGAACACCCCTCTCTCTCTCTCTCTCTCTCTCTCTCTCTCTCTCTCACACACACACACACACACACACACACACACACACACACACACACACAGACAGAGAGAGAGAGAGAAAGAGCGAGCGCAAAACGTCAGTTCTTGGTAGTTCATAGGAAAACTATGGGGCCCAACACACACGGGGGAGGGGGAGAGGGAGAGGGAAGGAGGGAGGGAGGGAGAGAGAGAGAGAGAGAGTTCTGGACAATGAAATCTCTAGATGCGTACTTATGTAAACCCCGGGTATCTCATTGATGCTTGTCAAGTGTGCGGGCACCCACACAGATGGACGTGATTGTGAAGAAACAGAAGGCAAAAAGGAAAACAAAACAAAGGAGAAAAAACAGGAGCAGAAAAAAACAAGGGCTCGTTGTTCACCAATTTTAATCAATCCATTCACGGATTTCAATCAAATCCCATTCAAGGATTTCAATCAATCCATCAGCGGATTTTAATCAAATCCATTCGGGGATTCTTTTTCCTTTTTTTTTCTTTTAATAAATGTTTTTTATGGATTTCAACTAGGCTACCAGCCGGGCCGCCCGGGTCACCCTATTACCCCGGACGGTCCGGCCGTGCAAGGACCAGGGAAGGTCCTAGCAAAAAAAATAAAAATAAAAATCCGGAAAAAATAAACTACGTTATGCAGAAAAATAAACTCAACAACTTTTGGCTCAGGGTCACATCGAAATTCGTTACCATATTTCAAATAAAAAATATAGCTTTTTTTTTTTTTTTTTTTTTT